AAAGAGAAGAATGAAAAGTTCAAGAGAAAGAATTACATTTTTTTGGGGGGATTGGTACTGCTGCTGAAACAAAAAGACTTCAATCCTTCCGTCTTTCACTGCTTTTTTTTCGGGTTTAACAATTTAATCGCAGTTTTCAGTCAATTATCATAGTTTTGAGACTCGCTTCCCGTTTTCCTGCTTCTTCCATTTCATGTAATCAAAAAAAAAAAAAATTTAAAAAAAAAAGAAAGTTATTGCTTTGAAACTTTTTTTTTTTTGCAACAATAAACTAAAAAACATTGACAAGACAGCCTTAATTATATGTAATTTTCTAAATTTTTTTTTGCTTTCTCAAATTTTTTTTGAAAGTCATTAATTTGTTGTTTAAATTACTGTGTGGAAATATTGATGAAGCCAAAGAAGCCGAAGAAAATAAAATGAAGAAAAAAAAGAACTTAAAATTTAAGATGGAAATAATACGTATGGATGGGTTGAACGATCATAAATGAAAACAACTTTTTAACACTTTTGAGGAAGTGCAAAAAAAAAAAAAAAAAGGCAATTAATGTGGAACAGCAAGATACATGTATAAATGTTTAAGTTTTTCTGATTCATTTGTTTTTTTCTTTTCAAAGGGGAGAAAAAGGATTAAAGGTTAGACAGCATCAATTTTTATTATGACAATAAGGCTTCTTAATTTGAATGTTCGCTTGTTGTTAACAAACTAAAAAGAAAAACGGGCGTTAAGGTATTTTACCCAGGTCAAATAAGGTTCCGTCAGAACAGGTCAAGAAAAGTAACTGCATATATCGTACTCGATTCAGAAGGACTACCTGAAAAGAGGATGACAGAAGAGCTAAGGGGTTGAACGAATAGATGTTGACTGGGTGGGTAATGCTTAGATGCAACCAAACTGTCATTTTATTTGTTTATTATTTGGCGATAAGCTTGTAATAGCAGTAAGAGGAAAAGGAGTGGAAAATTGGATTGGCAAAGGGTGTCGGCTACTGTGGTCGTGGTTCAGGAAACGGTTTCGGAGTGTTACCATGAAGGGTACTACATTGTTTATATTTCAGTTACTAATTGACGTTTCTTAAGTTCGTCAGAGTTTGTCCTTTTTTTTTCTAATTTTTTTTCAGTCAAAATTTTTAAAGCAAAGAAGGGTAGAAATTTGCAAACTTTACAGTGTCTAGTCTGTTGACTGATCGACTGGTTATGGTCACAATACCAATATATATCTGTGTTTTTGCTGTTTCTATACTGTGCTGAACAGTCCGTATGAGTTGTGTTCTTTTTTCCTAAACAAAACGCTTCATATCCCTTTTGCTTTATACGATTTTTTATGTGATTTATGCGATTTCCCTAAAAGTTTTATTAATAATCGTAGAACGAAAAAAAAAGAAAAGCACTTTTTGTTTTAACAAAAAAAATTTATTTTCAGTACCGTTTTTGAATATTAGAAATTTCAGTGATAAAACGAAAAAAAAAATCCGTTTTTTTATTGTGACACTGAACGGGGAACTCATATAGTGTTTTATATAACTTTTTTGGTTTTTAACTTTGCCTTATAATATTCAACGCTTTTATTGTCTATTGAGTTTTCAAAGGGTTTTTGGGTGTTGTACAATCACAGTTTTTTCCTGTTATATCAGCGGCAAAATGATGACAAATATGGGGCTGACGGCAGTGGGGAAGAAAAACTTAGTTTTGGTTGTGTAAATGGTGATGGTAATACATTTCTATATGTTACTGGCAATCGATCATCGTACAACTAATTGCTGTCATATTCAATGGGTACATTACAGGTAGTCGACGGCATCCGAGTTGCGCAATTGCCAAAATGGCGGATATTTGCTCAGATAATATGGATTCGAGCAAAGAAACTGAGCCAAAACCGTCGAATGATTTCTCTGAAAAGGTAACTTACATTTGATAAGTTTATATTTTACACAGCCTCTAAGTAATTATGTTTTTAAATGTTTTTTT